CAGTTGTGCCCTCAGTTGTCTCATGCTGAAAGGTCAATTGAAAGATTTCAGCTACCTCTTCACCGGGCACATACATCAAGGTCCCATCTTAAATTAATACAATAATTTTTAACAAAAGAAATGCATTATGCACACAGGACTCTTACCGCTTATTTGAGATAAGAGTACATCCCCATTTTCATTAGTAATAACACCCCCTGTTGGTTCGTCGTACACAACATCATGTGAATGCGTTGTAATATTCATCGTAATAGAAAAAATGAAAAGGCTGACAAACGTGGCTCGTATTTTTTTAGGTTAAAATAAACACCGTCCACGTGATCACGCCGATTGTTTCCATCTGCACCCTCTCATGAGATGGAGTGAATGGAGTTAACTCCATTTACTCCGTTTTGTAATAAAAGAACGCTACAGTGTCAACTAGTTTTCAGGTGCATCAATAAACGAACGGTTTAGAACAAAAAGAGTGTTCAGCACGGATAAACGAACGCACCTATAAAATCGCTATAAAACACCCAAATGAAATCTCGTAACATTGACGTGTGTCAAATTTCGTTTCACAAAACGCACGACTGCTCTGTGATGGCGCTCTAGATGTTGGCTTCATTAATTTGACTGTGCTAGCAATCCAGTTATTTTTTTATCCAAGATATAAATAACTACATATAAAAAATATGGAGTGCAACGTAATTAATCATACTTACTATTTTATATAAGAAGAGAGGAACGTTTCGATCTAAAATTTTTTTATTATTTTCAAAATTATACGTTATCATTCGACACAAATAATGTAATTTTCCCATAGGAAGAAACTGATTTAGAAGAATTCCTTAGAAGTAGAGATGTGCCGGAAAATACCATAAGTATCCTATTTTAAAAATGAAAACGTAAGTACATTTTTTCATGTTGTAAGAGGGACATGTCTGACTCATTTTAGCTGATTGCGTCCAAGCTAGCGAGAGCACTTGGAGTAATTTGACGCTTTTACTTACTTAAATAATAAACCATAGAACGTATCGGTTGGGGATTTTGACTTACGATTTTAATATTACATTATTATAATTCAATAATTAGTGTTGCTTAGGTTAATATAGGTAGCTTTTTTAAAGGCCATATTCTTCCTTTTCTGAAGTAGCGTAGTTATTGTAGTAGGCTGATCTTTCAAATCCTGCTCCAGTTTATGCCATGTTTCTACAGAAATTCCTATTGTTGTTTGATCACGTTGCATACGGTACGATTTAATTGCAGCACTCATTGTGTTCCAACGAACCTCTAGTGGTACAATCAATTTTGTTCCCCCCATATCCTTGTAAAGAGAGGTTGGTATGTGCTTGTTTCGAAAGAATTTTATAACTTTCAAAATATGTTCAGTAATTCCAGGAATTTTTAAATCCTTGGCAAGTAAGTTGAGGTTTTTGCGCATTTTCGACACATTACCTGTATTATCCGTAACAAAACTCTTTTTTCTACTACACTACCTTAGAATCACCCCTAGTAGCACCAAACATTTATTCAATATGTACATAATATTTATATATCTGTTAAATATTACAAATGTTTAGAAAATATTTTTTTATAAATATTTGCATTTGGATGTGTATTGAATATTTATGCAACAATAAAATTCGTATATATCCAAATTAATATAAATGAAATATTTTTTTGAACCACTAGGCAGTATATTCGACCGTAATCATTTACTTCATATACCTAATTATACAGTGTGTAAAGCGATGGGGTATACAAGAGGGAATTTTTTTAAAAATATTGATTTATGAAAAAAATTTATTCTTCATGATATTTTTTGCTTGCTTTGAAAGTACCAATAACGTTTCAATAATCTAAAATTTATTTATGGAAATCTGGGAAAATAATAAAATTATTTTTTTTAAGTTATTCTACATTTATGATCAAAATAGCGTATAGGCGCGTACAGACCGAGTTTCCAACGCAAGCCTGTGGTTACAGATTTGGAGGTGTTGGGATTGGTGTGTACCGCGCAACCCAACGGTTTCCAACCGCTTCTAATGACGCTGTTGGCGTTCGATTGCGTTCGCTCGGTGAGCGGTACATCTAAGGGAAATTTGATGTGGTCTGGACAGGATTTGTCGCGATTTTAGTTTTTAGTCGTTTGTCTGCCTTTTTAAAATGTCCATCATCTTCATTTTGAAGTTCCTCTAGTAAGGGACTGCCACTATACAAACTCCTATTTTTAAATGGTGTTGTTACCCACCAACGCCTAGGCCGTTTTTCTTCTTTTTCTTTGAAATTAAAGAATTCATTATTAAAAACCCCGCACTCGCCAGCAGTAAATCGTCCTCATCGCTTGACATTGTTTGACAGACTAGCAGCACCGGTTACAGAACTTTACCCAACACGGTCCCAGCAAGTTCAACTCAAATCTTAAATTTTGGTGTGGACGAGGGCATTCCAATCGTTTCCAACGACAAACGCCAACGTCACACGTGCTTGGATTCGTTGGCTTGGCGTTGGAATTCGGTCTGTACGCGGCTTATTGCTATCAAACCACAAACAATCGAAACGTTATTGGTACTTTCAAAGCAAGCAAAAAATATCATGAAGAATAAATTTTAGTCTCTTGTATACCCCATCGCTTCACACACTGTATATATTACAAATATACTAAAAAGCTTTGAATATAAATCAAAGCTAAGCAGAATCGGCCAAAGGTATAACTATTACAAATTACACTCATGCTGTCGGAGCAAAAATATTATGTGTAATTGCAGATTTATGGAAAACTGCAGGCATATGTATCAAGGTTGCGCTCGCTCCATCAACCACAAGCTAAAATAAAAAGTCGTTTTTACGCGCTCTCTTAACACGTAATTTGTGCTTTGCACTTGCAGCAGAGACGCAAGTCCGGCGTACCTAACCTATAACGAGCGCTAGCATCCATTTGAGAGGTCCCAACAAACACAATTTCACTGGCCCATTAATGGTTAAATATGTTCTCGCGTTAACTTACAACAATGGGCCACCATTGGCATTTTTGAATGGCCCAGCGCATTTATGTCGTTATGGCCATAAGCTGGCCAAATGCGGATTTCCTGTAAATAACCAACAGTTTGCCATCAATAATTTGTATTAGTATGCCAGTAAAGGGCCATGATTTTTCTGCCAGAAACTACCCAACAACGCAAAGAGTGTATGAAAAATGTAAATTTTGTTTATACTACATATTGACATTTTTGATTAATTAAGTATTATCGATTATTAGTATTACTTCCGGTATTTTTGTTGTTTGTGCGCCGGCTTCGCCCACCATCTCTATCGCCCGCGTTTCGGAGCCATACTTTGGCACAGTCCTCCACATCTTTTTTCGTTGCATTGCAGCATAGGGGATTTTTTCTAACCGCAACTACAACAAAAAAGTACCATAATTTATACATGAAAAAAAAAGTTTACGTAAATGATTATTACAATTAAAATTTTTAAAATTATAGTTTTTATCACAACAAGGCTGCTGTGTCAAATCATATGTCAGACTGTGTGTAACAAATCCTAACTTAAAAGACAGCATTGTATACCAAAACAAAAATGCTTACCAAGGAGTAAATCAACGATGTGTTTTAGCGCTCCAAATGGCTCTCTGCCATTACGACCAGACCATTTCATTGACATGGCCACCTCATTCCCTACGAGTTTGCTTAAAATACGTCTGCAGGTATTAGTCACGTCTTTGCCTCCAATAGAGTGCAAAATATTAACCTGATAAAGAGTACTAAAATAATGAAAGGCAAAGGGCAATCTCCATGCACTACTGTTAGTGTAATTTTATTAGAATATGTTTTTTGTTTAAATACATACCGATTTATTAAATGTTTCTTGAGATTCCAAAGACAAATTCAATTTTTTCAATTCCCCAATTGTGTTCGCGATTTTCCATTCACTTGTCGTGTAAAGTTTATCGACTGCATTATTGTTTGTTTGCTGGGCAATTAATTGGACTACATGTCTCATTTGAGCCTTTAACTCTTCTTGGGTTTTAAGAATTTTCTCAAGAAGATCTAAAACATTATTAATATAGGAGAAAATAAAACGAACACGTGGATCATTTTTAATGCTTACCCATAATTCTGTTGGCATTCATTGGTGCATCAACGTTATTGTTACGCGGTGGAAATGAACGAGTAGTACTTGGAGTTGAACAATCATTCACATTCGTTGTGAGGCCGCCATATTTGTTGTTTTCTCTGCGAAGTGAAGGAGTACTACGGGCAGATTCGCAATCACTCTGTAGTTCCACTATTCTGTTTATGGAGCTAAAAAGCTTGGGGACTGGGGAAATTTCACTCAAATCATCTTCAGAATAATCTGCAATGAAATCTTCTAGCTGCAAATTTTTTTTTCGTGGACGACGATGTGCACTATCATCATCAGACGAAACGTTCGAAGTATTTTCCAACAACATCATTTTATTTTTTGCTTTCTGATAATCGTCTAGAAAAAAACAAATGGTAAACTAGATACTATGTAAAGTAAATTTACCTGTTTTATATTTTATTCTAATGAGGCATGTGACACTTTTTTCCATAATAACGCTTGCTCCATTAAACACTGCCTTCTGTATCGCAGCATCATTCTTTAAGTAAATTGGCCAAAAGCATTTCTGTTTGTCAGAGGTAAGCCATGCATCTGGGATAATTGCCATTGACGATCTACCATCTTCATCAACCTCATCAGGGAATTCCACAACATAATATGATCTATTATTATAAAATAAAATTAGATAAATAATAGGTGTCAATTTTTCATATTTGTTACAAACAAGAAACATAAATTAAAATAATTTATTTGTATAAATGTAATAATGGGGAACAAACAAAAGTTTTTTCTTTATATGGCAATATCAAACTTTTATATAAAATTTCACTAATCGGGTACGTCTGCATAGGAAGGGTTTCTTCATCTGTCACAGTATACAGAGGCAGCAACGCACTGTCTGTTGGATAGTCCAAGACTTTCCATCTGTTCCTTTAATTCGATTTGAGGATAGTTCATAAATCCTTTTTCTTCCATAAATGTTGCACACAATTTGAGTTGATGTTTTATTGCAACAGTGTACGTAATATTTACACGAGAAGCTACTCCAACAGCAGTTTTTTTAAATTCGCGATGTTTAGACTCAAATCTTAGGGTAGATAATTTTGACAGTGGCCCTACAGTTTTTAGCACTCTTGGGTAGTGTACCAAGAAGTGATGTTTTGGTTTAAGGGGTAAATTAAACAACTCCATATATAATTGATGGTGGTTTGAAATTAATTCTTGAAGATAGTTGCACGTAATTTGTAAAGAAGAATATAAAAATTCCTGAGAAAGTACAATATCTAAAATTTTTCGCAGTAGTATGTAAAGTTCCCAATATTTGTTATTGGTCACAAGCGGACCTACAATAGATCCAAATAGAAGAATAAAGCATTTCATTTCTGCGCAACTCATATGAAGCTTTTTCTTTTTTAAATGTTCGTATGAAATTAATGGGGGTTTATTTATATTTTGATTTCCATAATTAAAGTACTTTATACGCTTGTTTAGAATGTCTAATGTAAATATTTTATCAACAATAATAAAACGATGCAACAGTTCACAAATATCAAATGACCCGACTCCTTCGAATATGTCATGCGCAATATCTACTGACAAATTGTCTGTTGCATGAAATGTGACTACATTATTCCAAACACACCTTTGCTTCATTCCGGTTAAGGTAGTATTTCCAGTTTCAAGGTCATTTTCATAGTTTAATTTAGATTTTAACATATTAGCATCTTCTGTCAGTTGAGATTCCAAAACAGTTTTATTACATTTACAAAATCGACAATAAAAACTTGCTCGAAAAGATTCTGTATATCCCAATATTGTGTTTAGACCTAAATTATCTCCCAATATTAACGCAACACAAAAATATATGTTTGTCTGTGTGTTAAAATTTTTAAGACGAATTCCATCCGACAATAACTTATTGCATTCTTCCACCAATTTAGAAAATATAACTTGATGTCCAAATTCCTTTAAATCAGAGCTATGAAATAATGAAAACAGAAAAATATTCGCTAACTGAGATTGATATTTTTGAGGTAGGTAATACTGGAACTGAACAATATATAGAAGAGATTTTATGTATGCCTGCATGTGACCCAAGAGGATTTCCACTTTCATAATCGTCGAAATATATATACAAGGGCAAAATGATATCATTATCTTGTAAATGTATATGATTAATTTTGTTTTTCCAAAATTCTGATTGGTATATGTTTTGATAAAATCTACTGCTTTTCAAAATGTTTAAATGTTCTAAAGTTTGTTTTAAAACGTTTGGTAACTCAAAAAAAAGTTTTAGGATTTTTGATAGTTCAATAAATTGGCTTACATTACTTTGTGCATATATAGCATTGTTTCTTGTGGTTTCTCGTTGGCCAATAATACACTGAATAGGAGGAATGTAGAAATGAGAATCTTTGAAGTGTTTCAGACGTAAATAATCTGAATCTAAACCAGAAAATAAGCTCTTTAATTGCTCAAAATATAAAGCAATTCTTTCACTGTCTTCTAGCCTTATTTGAGTACTATTTTTTAGAATCTGTAAAATATCAATTTTCAAAACTTCTAAAGGTTCGCCAAATAAATCTTTAATGTAATTTATTATTACTTGTACGTCTTTTCGGGTAAGATTATTCATTGCATACATATTAGCGATAAAACTAACAACACGGTTTTCGATTAACGATTTGTAAAAGTTGTTATCAATAATTGAACGTGGGATTTCACTTTCATTCGACACCACTGTTTTAGTGTCTTCATCAATACAAACTGTACTATGTGTAGAGTTATTGTCAGGCAAGTTTGTACTATTTGTAGTAACATCCGGCAGTGATTTACGAGTGAGCTGAGAGTTAATATTTTCATGAGTTTTAATGTGTTTCCTAAAGGAATTTAAAGAACTAAAATTTCTGAAGCATTTAGGTTCAACGCAGTTGTATGTATCATTCGGTTTAAGATTATGTATTATTTTAAGATGAGTAACTAATGACTTAACATTTCCGTAATTTTCCAAGCACAAACCACAAATGACCATTGTGATAATCAAAACATAAGTTATTCAGTAGCGTTAAACCAATGGTTAAACCATTGATTATAGTTAAACTAATAAACTTACGAAAGTAGGTATAGGTAGTTACAATTTAAGGTGATAATTAATATCAGCTATTGCTGAAGCAGCACTACTTGTTTTACCCGTGACAGGCATCCCATAAACCACTTCTTCGATAAATTGCCAAATAGATTTGCTTTCTGCAGGATAATTTAGGTTAAGTGCATGAAACAGTTTGTATAATAATTCTAGGCATCTAATGCTAGACTCTAACTTATACTTAATATTTTGGTTATACACGTAATAACTTTCTTGTCCCACATCCCCCACTGCCACACCAAAAGGCTGTAAAGGAAGTTGATATTTTTCTAACTTATGCTGTCTCGCGTCTACTATTTCTTCTAATTCCAATAAATTCTAGAATGTAACAAAATATTCCGTGTTATTAAAAGTTGTTGATGTTAACAATAAATGAATAATAAAGCGTAATAATATGTAAGAGTACTGATGTTACTACACCAAATGAAGTAAGTACAGTATTCATTTTAACGGTAGCAATCTGAATATAAATGGAAATATGGTCATAAATAACTCAATCTTAGAATGTTATAAAACGTCCACGTTTTTAGAGCAACAAATTGCCTGATTTTGATTTGGAATTTGAACACCTTGCATGAAGTCGTAAATATCTGTCTACTTACTTTAGTACAGAAGAAAAAACTATGCTGAACTTCAAGTCGGCTTGGACGCCAGTTCCCAATTTTATTTTTACTACTATTTTTTACAGTAGTTGGGGAAAATAAATATGGCAAGCATAGAAGTGCACTTGTTGACAAATCTAAAAAAAAACTTATTAGGTACATAACCATCCATAGATATCTAATTATGATTACCTTCGTTTCTTTCTTCAATAATAATTTTTCGTTCTTTAGCTTCGGATAATATTGCTTTTGAAACACTTGGCCAATTTTCGTAAATGATGTTCGCTTTATTTGGATGTAAAGTATTAAAGTCAATCTCCAACTACGAAAAAAAAACAAACAAAATCACTAACATACCCTAACTGCATTTATAAACAAAATGAAAATACAATGTGTCCAAGACAAGAAGTTGCGCTTTTTCGAATCATAAAATTTTTTTACTGTGTATTCAGATTTAAAAAGAAACTAGATTTACAAGAAGAGGATATGTGAGTGCGCCACTATGTTTAGAAGTAAATAAAATATATCGAAATTGCGAAATATTGTTATAACATATGTATTAAATACTCTTATAAAAAGACGCAACTGATTTCTAGGATATGTCAAGCTTTTTTAATGCATAGAACCTTTAGGCTGGACACAATATAGCCATACCAGTCTATTAAAACATTTTTTTGGTTTCTACTTACCAGCTCAATTCCGAATTGGAGTTTTAAAGAAGGAAATGCTTCAAAATATGTTTCTATGGGTTCACTTTTGTATCGTTTTTGCCTAATACGGAATGTTGATTCCCAACACTGAGCAACTCTTTGCTGGGGTTCCACTGCAACTTTTAGGAATGCTAAATCATGTTCATATTTGAGGAGCAGACTTGCAAAACGCAGTTTGTCCAAATTTTAAATTTTTCAACTGAAGGTGGCGTTGCAATATACACTTGAATCTCTATCGTTTCATATAATATTGGATGTCCAAATCGCATTATGTCCCACTTGAAATGTGTTGTGAAATTCACTTGGACATGCAAAATGCATTTAGTCCATCGACATTAGACAAACAAATAGCATTTTGTCCGTGAGACGAACAAAACGCATTCAGTCCAGCCGTAAACACGCTGTTTTTATAACCTAACAGTTAGGTTACTGCTCTTAGTGTCGTTTCGGTTTATTTTGCAGTATTGTGTGTTTAGTTTGCATCTTTTTCGCAACGTTTCAATTACAATGGAATCTGCAGATGGGGAGCATATTGTTGGTGATTGTGACCGTGGTAGCCGGAAACGACAAGCAAATTTAACATCCAGGGAGAGAAAGAAGCAAGTCAGATATTCAAACCATGATCCTGATTTACAACAATTTAATATAGTTTGTAATCATAAGAATAATCCAAAACTGCAGTGTGGGCAAGTAGGGCGAGATGATATACTTAAACCTCGGGAAGTTTTTTACAAAAATCCCAATAAAGTTATTCAAGATGGAATATTAGCCAGTAACATTGAGTTGGATATCCCTAAACGAAAAAGAGCTCGCAAATCTGATGGAAAACCGCACTCCTTGTCTGCAAAATATCATGTAAGTATAAAAGTACATACGTCGTTTTTGATAAAAGACTCCATGTTTTGAGTCTTACATACGTCGTGTTTCATCAACAATTTGGTGCAACCATTTTTTATGTTGGAAAGAATATTAAAGTTCTCGAGCTTTTGTTGATCTTTTACTGCTTTTTTCACTTAGTAGGTGTGTTATATTCGAATTTTTACAGGTATATATCAGTCGACAAAAAGTACAAATTTGTCAAAAGTTTGTAATGGCTGTATACAACGTTTGTCAAAGGAGACTAAACACAATTTGCAAGAAACTCCAGGCTGGGGAGGAAATTATAAAAGAAAAAAGAGGAGGCGATAGACGAGCTTTTAAGTTTGTAGACAAATTGGATGCTGTAAAGTCGTTCATTAGTCAATTACAAGGAAAAGAGAGCCACTATGGAAGACAGAAGTCTCGACGGATCTACATATCTTCGGAGTACAACATTTCTATTCTTTGGCAGTTATATAACAAAAACTCACCAGAAGGTTTAAAAGTGAATTACAAGTACTTCAGTCGGGTGTTCAGTAAATATTTCAATATTGGATTCGGCAGTCCTGCTACTGATGTTTGTAGCTATTGTGTAAGAACACAAACCAAAATAAGTATGTCTCAAAGCTCTTCTGAAAAGCAGAAAATATCCACTGAACTGAAAGTACACAAATTTCGTGCCACACAATTCCATAAGTTAATGAAAACTGAAGTGCCTAATACAGTTTCGTACTGCTTCGACTTACAGCAAGTTCAGGTATTGCCAAAAGTACCTATTCAAGAGGCATTTTACGCTCAACAGCTGTCAATATATTTTTTTTGCGTTACCAAACTCAATTGTCAAGAACCAATATTTTACACGTGGATGGAACACCAAGCAGGAAGGGGGGCTACTGAGACATCATCTGCCATTATTGATTTTTTAAAAAGAACTGAATTTCCTGAAGATGCGACGAAGATCCGTTTTTTTGCCGACGGCTGTGGGGGGCAAAACAAAAATAGTCACGTCATACATGCTTTGATGTTTTGGCTCCATACGTCAGGCGAAAAAATAAAGGAAATAGAAATTATATTTCCGATCAGAGGTCACTCTTATCTTCCTGCCGATCGAATCTTTGGACGCATCGAAAAAATATTAAGGTCCCACAGTCTCATAAAAACTCCAGACGCATATTGGGAATTGTACACTAAAGTGGGCGAGGTACGAAAACTTGGGTCTGATTGGAATCTGCTTGATGTAAAAAATATGCTGCAGTGGCTCAAAAAAGTGAATGGCATAAGTTCTTGCCGAAGATTTTTTATTAAAAAGAATGTTTCCGCCAACAATATTTTAGTGAAAAGTGAAGTACTCTATCGCACTGATACAAACAAATTCCAATCTTTACTAAAACCACGCACACGATTCGACCAGGTAGTCGTGCCATGGCTACCTTTGGGACATCAGATAAAGAAAAAAAAATAGACAGTTTAAAAAAATTATTAGAATCATTATCTGGAGAAAAGTGGAACAATGATCCAGAACTGGCATGGTTAGTTCCAATTTTTGAAGAACAACGTGAAGATGGGGAAATAGAAGCAAATGAAGAATGTGAATGTAACGACATGGAAGAGGTTAATTTCATTTAAAGTTTGTAAATAATACAAGTAAACGTTATCGACAATATGTTTGTTTCATTTCCAAATTTATTATACCCAGTGATCTGTTGGATGGACAATCAAAATGCTGTTTGTCAACTAGTGACCTGCAAATAGCATTTTGTCCAACAGTTTTTTTGAAATAGTAAAGCCACTTTGGCTTTTTCCAGTCTGCAAATTTAGTAATTTCTCATGCTATTTTTAATAGATTTTTTAATACCAAACGCAAGTCCGTAAGTAACTCGTATTGTACGTAGTAGTTTTTTGTCATTCCTGAAAATTTACAATTTTGGACAAAACGCGTTTTGCAAGTCTGCTCCTCATTTGTCGTTTTCTTCTTCTAGTACAAGGTTCTCCTTATTTTCATCTGTCACTTTATATTTGTCCGCCAACCTTAACGCTGCACGGACGTTTACATATCTGGACCACAGCTTTCCGCGGGCAGGTTGCCTTCTTAAAGATCCTTTTGGCGGGGAGTAGGGAATGTAATACGTTTCAATTTTTTCGGTTGGAAACAAGTTAATAATTTCTTTGGCAGCCTCCAAAAACGTGTCCGCCCTTATTCTGAAATTTGAATACATTTTAGTAGTTATATTACATTAGTACCTAGTCGCATACTCAGCATAGTTGTGTGTGGATATGATTTGATTGACAACTATTTTTGCCAATTTTTGTCGATCATCGTTATTGAGTTTATGTTTGTGTGCCATGATAATTTTTCCGTCCACATGCATTTTCAATAAATTTTCCAAAGTCTACAACATTCTCTTACACATTTTTGCACAGTATAGGTATACTTAAATATTTACCGAAGGAAATAAGAAAGAATCTTCGCTTCTTGTTTTTTTAGAAGTGCTTGGTTGGAACATATCGTAACTATCAGTAATATCGTGATGGTAACTTGTAGTAGATGTATTAATGAGACTTCCTTGTAGGTCATTAGCCGGGATTACTATCATGTTAGCTATGGAAGATATGTCACTAATGCTAGTGGTATCACTGTTGGTCACATTCTTAAACATTCATGATGAAAAACCAAAAGTTTAAATAATATTTTAATACCAAAATAGGCGTAGAGTAAGTTTCAATATGAGGCCCCTGCAAACTTTCGCTTAAAAAAATGGCAAATTGCTTTTTAAAAACTAGCCTTGGACCAGATTTTTTAAATAGGTTATCAATAGTATCCCCGTGTCTAGAAGACAAAAACTTTCATCGTTGATACCTTCTTCTGAAACAACATTAATAATTAATGATGAGAGGTCTTGATTTGTAAATTTAAAAAACAGTAGAGTTTTACTTTTAATTTTTTTACTGCATCCCCACAAAAGTTTTAATTATTAATAATTAATATTAATATTTGTTTATTTTCCGAATTAATTACATACAGGGTGATTCCTATAGTACCTGCCACCGTTTGGGAGCGTATAGGGGGTGCCTAGGGGAGTATTTTGATATAGGACACTTGGGGTCGGAAATCTAAAATAAGGGCGGCAGAACCAAATTTATCTTCTGGAATTTCACGCCTGTATGTAGGCAACCCAACCGACCGACGTTTCGCGCGGAGCGATGCAGAGCGAGTTAGCGCGAGGAAGCGACATGGGAGGGAGGAGGGAAAACGACAGTCAAAAGCAATAACGTTTACAAGTGTTCAACGTGGCCACCGTTGTTCTCAATGCACTTCCTACATCTAGCCAACTATTATTATACTATTGCCATAGTGTTTATTCACTTGATACGCGTGGTTGCAGACGGGATTTCGTGGGTTTAAACAAAATTCTGATCAAGTGTCAGCCACACATCGCCGCCTGAGATCGCTCCGTGTGCACCGCCGGCCGGTTGGGTTGACTACCTACAGGCGCGAAATTCCAGAAGGTAAATTTGGCTCTGGCACCTTATTTTAGATTTCCGACCCCAAGTGTCCTATATCAAAATACTCCCCTACGCACCACCTACACGCTCCCAAACGGTGGCAGGTACTATAGGAATCACCCTGTATGTATAAATATCAAATGCCAGTTTGGATTATTTAATGTTAAAAAAGCATACAATTTGTTAATATTTAATTTTGAGGTGATTTTGGTAACGCTTGGCATATACGTCAATATTAATAATTTTGTTATGACAAAACTGTACCAACGTGCGTAATTGTATTAATTTTTTTTGTTTGGGCACATACAATCTCCCGTATGAAAAATAAATCTCACTTCGTGCAAAGATTATTTCTGTAGTCGTTCACTGTCTCTATTTTTAAATCTGTTCTAAACTCACAGCACAATGTACATTTTATTATTAAAATGACTGACTCATATGTAAATGTAAAATGTATAATGTTACTTGGATACTTGGAAAATAAAAAGTTCCTTTATATCTCAAAATAGGCATAACAACACGCAATGATGTTTGCAATTGGAATACGTAAATTTAATATAATTATATGTAAGAATACTTACCCTTAAAGATGTCTACGAACTCCTCCAGCCCCCACGTTTGTAACTTTTTGACGTACTCAAAACTCATAGCAGGATATTTATAACAGTAAAACAGTTTGTATACAATGACAATGGTCAAGTCAACGTACGATACTTGACTTTCAAAACACAACTTTTGGCTTTTGGAACGCCGCCGTTCTTAAACGCAAGATGCCAAGCACAAACGAAATGATAAATGACGTGTTCGTGGTACATGGACGCCGTAAGTGAATTTTGCAAAGTTGCACATTGCAGTTATTAACTGTTATACAGCGTTTATGCATCGTTATTAAACAGTTTATTAATGTCAAATGTTTCCATGCAGTGCAATAAATGCAATTGAATTTATATAACAGATTACTGACAGTAACTAAATTTTGAAAATAGTTCGTTCATCATAGTTCAACAGTTCACTAATACTAAATACCCTAATTTAAATAACTATAAGTTATTTGTGTCAGTATCACAGAGTTGCTACAGTAACAATATTTTTTTTAATTACAAATAACCAACTTCAAGTAATTCAGTTTACTTAATATTAACAGTCAAGTACCTTATGACAATCAATCATTATACTCTTGGTAATTATACAATATTCAAGTAAACTGTTTATTTAGACTCTTTTTCTCAGTGTAGGTTGAGCGAACACGAACTTATTTTGCATGAAGTTGTTTCTAAGAAAAAAATTCAATTTAAATTACAACACGATTCTGGCCCCACTTTGGACTCAGTTGCAGGACTACAGTTTAAAAAAATAGAGCTTGAACATTTAACTTTTTCGATTCATTCCCATTCGAAATCAAATTGCTACTGTATTATAGGAAATTCAACAATGCAAATTCAAAACATCATTCATACCCCCGAAAATAATGTTATCCTTGTGGTAAAAAGGTTTTGCTCGAAATTGTCCTTGTACAACTATCCTTTTAATTCGAAAGATCTAGGTATTAATGTAGTATCTGATTTGTCAGAGGATCTTAGTTCATTTCCAATTGATGAGGTGATTGCCAAATGTATACTTTTACCCACAACTGTTGACCATCAATGGGCATCGTTACCCATCATACATTCATTAATAAATGTTTAGGGAATACCTTAAAATATTTTTAGACTCTATAATACTTTTTATTTTCACAAGTATATAGACGTTGTCTATATGTCTGTTGGTTAATGTTACATGATACTTTGAAATATTATTATTTTGTTTTTTTCTAGTTTATATGCTGTCGAAATATATGAATGGATTGAAAATACCTCGCTTTTATGTAGTTATGTATAGTATACCTTTACCTTATTATAAACCAATTTGCAACGTGTATTACACGTATTCGATAACACGTAATTAAAGTGTGACATTCCAACGTAACATACACGTGACATTCACGTAAAATAATTACGTATTTAGGTCAAAATGCGACGGAAATGATACGTTTTTATCACGCCGTTTTGTTTGCTGGGAGGACTATTAGTTACGTACCTTCCTGTTGGCGAAATGAAAATGAAACATCATACAAATTTCCTAACACCAAAAGTGAACAACTGCTTCGAAAGTACATACATGATTGTAAGGATTTAGATTCGAATTACTCATGGCATGATGGGGAAGCAAAAAAAGTCAATGTGGAATCTCTTCAAGTAGCCAAGGACCTTTGTGTGCAAGGCCTAATCACCTCATCTTTTGAGACTGATGACGAAGGTAATGACAATTATACCCCAAAATCTGGCAGACGAATTAGAAAGCGAAGAGTTTCGACAAATTCCGAAGACTCCAATCCTTCTCTGTCCCGAAACCCAGGCAGCAAGGGTACGTTGAGCTGACGTGGATATGTGGTGAATCATCAACAATCACGTTGAGTCAACCACAATTAAACGTTATGTCCACGTAGATAAAGCAACTTTTTTTCGACGTGTCAATCGTAACGTGATATCAACGTTGATTTAAAGTGGACGTACTTCAATGTTGTTTAGGGGAGCGCTCCTCAACGTGCTTTCTACGTCTGAATTACGTGCAGTCAGAACGCCTTTATAATAAATTGTAAATTATATATGGTTAGTAGACACTAAGATAATAACTAAAACAACTATAAAATAATATAAAAGGGTTGTTTTTCGTTTCTCAACTGTGCAATAAACTGATTGTCGTGTTGGAGAGTCGCCCAACAAGTTTCAAATATCCCGCGGTCACGGGCGGCTGACACGCGCCGCGCGCGTTTGTAACTGAGCGACTAGGAAAGGGATCATTCCCGATCGTGTTTTTTTTTACTTTCTCGATGGATCGGTGTTGTTCAACTTAAAATTAAAGTACGTTGTAAACATAAGTTGTAACCTAAAATCTGCAGTTTGGTGTTCTGTGATGAGATAAGAAATAAGATAAAACAGAAAACAGGTTAGTGTTGTATTTATCATGAGTTTATAACGTTTGATCTAACCTTACTTTTGTAAAATTTGTATACCTACATCTAAGGCTACGTTTCCATGCATACGAAAGCCGCATCCGTAAATAGTTTAGACCAATAGGGGAAGGCTATGTCAACTACGGATCCGTAGCTTCGATCAGCTGTTTGAAGTTGCCCAAGTTTCAACTTTTACGGATCCCGTCGTACTCCGCGCATGTGTAGTGACTTTCTAACTCTTGTGATGGAATGAATATCTATGTGGAATGAGCACATGTGGCGACATCTATTATAAGACATCCTAAATCACAATTCATAAGTAAACTGTCAAAATTTAATTACGCTTGCGCCACATTTTGAATTTTAAGTATCGATAGCGCGAAAATGAGTAGCAGTGAGGATATGGAACTTTCAAATACTCCCCCGGAAATTACTGCGGAAGCAGAACAAGCAAATAGTATTTTACATTATTAGCCAGGTAAGTGAGTTTTTACTGGCGATAGAGCCAGTAAAAACTATTACCTGGCGTATAATGTACAATATTTTATTTGTTACTCATTTGTAAACGTAAATAATTAGTTCTTAAATTGATCTTGAAGAAATGTCTAAAATATCATGTGATCCATGTAACAGAGACTTCGCATTAATTCTGGCCAATGAAATTACTAGATTACTAACTTGTAAAATTTTTACAGGTCTGCTGTCAGTTTTACAAGTCTGCTGTCAGTTTTACAAGTCAGTTTACTCGTTTGCGTTTTGTCTTGTTAATCAACGTTTACAACTGAGTAACAAATAAAAAAATTTACTTCCCAACAAATCCAAGGCAGTGTACAAACATACGTACAGTAAATTTTTGGAGTGGAGGATTAGGAAAAACACACCTCATTTTCGGAGAATGTAGTGTTGGCTTACTTTAGCGAACTATCGCAAGAAATCAAAGTATCCACATTGTGAAAAACTTATTCAATGTTGAGGTCTACGTTAGTTTTGAACAATAATGTAGATATAAGCAGCTACGCTAAGTTGCAGGCCTTTTTAAAAAGGCAATCGAGCGGCTATCTCCCCAAAAAGTCAAAAATTCTAACAACAACCGAAGTAAAAACGTTTATTGAAAAAGCCCCTGACTCTTTATATCTAGCAACAAAGGTACTTATAGAAAACTACAACAAAACTCGTTACATCATATGTATTTTACACTTACAGGTTGCTCTTATAGTTGGCATTAGTGGTGCTTGCCGGAAGCACGAATTGTGGAACTTAAAAATTGACCATATACAAGATTTAGGTGGAGTTGTTGTAATTAGGGTACCCGATCCAAAAACTAATGTTCAACGCAAGTTCACAATTACGGGGGAATTTTACGAAGTATTTAAAAAATATTATTATTTATTATTATTATCCCTCTCTTGTTTTGGGCCCTCAACAGGCATGCGCCCAATTACAGAGTGACCCGCATAATGCTATTTAGAGGTGCATCTGCAGAAGGTCTGAAGTTGGTCTATACCTACTACTCCGGTATTTACCTTACGAATTAGGAAAACTGCAGGAAAACCTAATTCGGAGTAGCCGGTGGAATGCTCGGAACTGGTCTAAGGTAATTATTACAGCTTAAGACCTTCAAATGTCGAAAGGCAAAGTTTTTTTTTTAATTACCAAAAAGGACGTTGCACACGACAAGTGATAGGTATGAATAAATTTGGCAGTATGCCTAAAGAAGTGGCGACCTACTTGCAACTGCCAGATCCTGAGAAGTATACTGGGCATTGCTTCCGCAGAACCTCTGCAACAATGCTTGTGGATTCGGGTGCAGATGTTACGATGTTAAAAAGACATGGCGGTTGGAAGTCCACCGAGGTGGCTGAGAGTTACATTGACGATTCAGAAAATAACAGAATCGCAATAGCCAACAAAATTATGAATGCTGTGATCGAACCAGTTCCGGGACCGTCAACTAGCCATTCAGTACAGTCGGTTATAAGTCAAAATACATCGGCTTCTAGTGCGCCCACGTTCAATTTTACAAATTGCACCAATACTATTACCATTAACATTATTAATAAGCAAGATTAAATTGTTATTTGTATTCTTTGTTCCATAACTGTTCGTCAATTACACATCACAAAATATATTCAAACCGCTTAATTTTCTGCCTCGACAGAAACTGAAACACTTAACGTCATAATTGGATTGACAATGTTACTAACAATACAATAATGGTCGTTTGCATCGACGAGATTAAGGCCCTTCGCTTACCAAACCTACACGATAACGATCCGATGCCGGCACGATATACCAGCCAACAAGCTCGCGATCTGCTCTTCTTCCATTGGGCCTACTTGTTTCCTACATTTTTTGATCAGTACAGTCGGCAATGTCAAGTGACGAGGATGATGTCGTTGCTATGTATTGGTATTTGCGAAATCGAAAAAAGCAACGAAAATCTAATAAGACAAGAAGATGGTGGATACATCCATATATCGCTAATAATAAAAAACGAAGGATGTTTATTGCTGCCAAAGAACTTGCGCAGGATCCCGTAAAGTTTAGATCATTTTATCGGATGTCTAAAGAACTTTTTCTTGAACTGGTTGAAAAACTGCGACCATATATTCAAAAAAAAGATACGAACTACCGACAATGTGTGAGCGTTGAAGAAAGACTTTTAATAACGCTTAGGTAAGTGTATAACGTGTTTATTATATAGGTTTTTTTACAATGGTTAATGCAAATAAGTTAAATCATAATCAGTGTTGCTGCTGCTTGGTTTCCATCCATTGTGGGGATCAGTTTGTGGCAATTGTCGAAAATTTGTGGTAATCAGAGATGGTTCCATATTGTTGCTATCATAAAGTGATGACCTCGGTGATGACGTTGCGGTTGCAGGAGTACTGGTTCTTGATGGCCACGAATGTTCACTATAATAAGAAGATGGCGCAGGTGAAGGAGTATTGGATGCGTTTCTTGTTGGGAAGGAATTTTGGTTGCCGCTAATATATGGTGATGCGGATGAAGGTGTGGTATTGTTCAAAAAATATTGGTTACTGAATGCTGGTTTTCCATCTAAAATATTGTCAATTAAATTCAAAACCTCTCGTTTGAATCGTCTCATCTGTAGAGGATTCATTGCATTCACCTCCGGAAGCAAGCTCAATAGAAACATCTGATTTGGATCAGCATCGGTAGTTTTCTTTTTGCGAATATCGCAGAATTCTACAAACGCTCTATCAGCATCGGACAATTCAGGTTTTCTTTTGTTTGTTACCGTGTTAGCGGACTTTTTTCTGTTAATCGTTTGTGTTCCATCATTTCCAATACCCTGTGAAGCTTGCGTGGCATCAGCTTCATCAGTATTATCTGCAATTGCAGTGCTTTCATCGATACTTTCGCTTTCATCTTCACTATGTTGTTCAGAAGTTGATGGTATATTGCCCTGTGTGTCACTGTCAGGTGTGTTGGGTTTCACAAATGGCAACACAAATTGCATATGTTCTGCTAAATAATACGGTTTTTTGGATTTTGCACCTGATCCACTTGGAGGTGACTTCAAGTTCCTCACAAAAGCTGTTCTTACATTCTGCCATTTCTGCTTGCATTTGCTCACTGTAATAGAAACAAAGAAAACATGCATATACCTCTTGACCAAATCATTTATAGTTACACAAATTTTTACAGATATTTGGCCTCAGGATGTACGTTCAGCGCTCTTGCATTTTATTTTGCTCGAGGAAATAATACAATTGGACGTATTGTAATAGAAACTACATCTGCTATTTGGTCAAGTTTACAAGAACAATATATGCCAATTCCGAACAAAGATCAGTGGCTATTAATAGCAGATCGCTATCAGCAGTTGTGGAATCTTCCAAACTGCCTAGGAGCTATTGACGGGAAGCATATTAGAATACAGAAAATTCCTGGAAGCGGATCCGAAAATTTTAATTATAAATCGTTTCACTCTATCGTTTTACTGGCGTGCAGTGATGCTGATGGTAACTTTATTATGATAGAACGGGGTATGCTGGTAGAAATTGTGATGGCGGCATTTTTAGAGCGTCAAGAATGGGCAAATGGCTACAACAAGGACGAGATTTGCCGGAACCAAGATTGTTACCAAATGATGAATTGCAACAAAGTTTTCCATATTACTTTGTTGGTGACGAAGCATTTCCACTTTCAAAATATCTTATGAGACCTTATCCAAAACGAACACTGAATAACACGAGCAGAATATTCAATTACAGACTCAGTCGAGGTCGTAAGACCGTTGAATGTGCATTTGGCATGATGACACAAAAATTTCAAGTGTTGCTGAATTCTGTTCGTTGTAAAGCAGTAAAATCTGTGAATAACATAATTCGGGCAGTATGTATTCTTCATAATTATGTTCGTAACAGAGAAGGACGAGCATATTTAACAACACAGTTTCCACAAGAAGAACAAGAACCTCACGAAATATTAGCCAACGTCCATGCAAATGGTGACGAACAGATTACTATTGATGGCCGATCCAATGCACATACTTTGAGAAATTATTTAGCTCAATATTTTCTACAACCACGTGTAGCTCTTCCATGGCAATGGAATTACAGAGTAAACGATGATTAATTAAAAGTTTCTCACAAACTTTTATTACTGACGATTTTATGTAAACGATAAATGAATATCTACACACTACGCACATTGTTTGTACTAAGTTATTAATAAATTGGTAAAAAACAGTACATACCTGTGTCGTTTACTTCTTTTGCCACTTCTGTCCATGCTTTTTCAGTGATATCTTTTCTAGCATATTCTGCCAGCTTATAATTATATAAGCAAGGAAAATTTTCGACTGCTTCTACAAGTTTGAGGTTAAATTCACATTCAGCCTTTTGATGCGCCATAACTGCAGACTGCCCAAACAGTAACTGAAATCGTCTGGACGTCTGACATGTCGAGTCGGCAGCCGAAAATCGTACGACGTATCGGCCGAATGTATCTTTGGTGTGAGAATTGTGTATATAAAACATGAGATCGATTTGGATACGATAAGCAGATGATATTTTTCAGCATCGTATCGGCATCGGATCGTTATCGTGTAGGTTTGGTGAGCCAAGGGCCTAACATTAAGGGTAACTTGATCTTGTCCTGATTAATATGTATAACACGGCATTTCATTTCGTAGTTCTTGGTTTTTCTGATTTGTTAACAAATTCCAAGTTCAGATACCTTACGTCAGTATAAATACAACCAAATGTGTCAAGGTGCATATTGCTACAATGAATTGATATACCTACCTCACAGCACTATACGAAAAGAACATCCAGATCCAGTTAACAGTTGTTGGTCATCGAGAACACATTTCCTCAGTAGGTAGGTATTACTTGGCGAGTTTTAAAACTAACCTAAAATATAATGTCCACTAAAATCTTACCTACACTCGTCGATACTTGAAGTAGGTACATATCATCGCACTCGCCAGGCCGATTCATACAGATACATAGGCATAGAGTAAACAGCTTTTACTTACTTAATAAGTAATTTGTAATTTCGATTACTAAACACAAATGAAGCAGACAAATCGCAACTTCCACATTTCTTTCGCATGTGCGGTGCATAGCTCGACGGGACATTGACAAATATCGCTGAAATATGCCAATATTGCCAATGCCACAGGGATCTGTTATACCAACCCACCACTCACAGACCTACAATTCAATGGGTGAATTGTCTACCGCTAATAACCCTGATTGTTTTACATATTTTGCAACAATTCGTCGTAGTAGGGTAAATGCGCCTAAGTTCATCCACTTCTATACTCTGTTTTTTAACTAGGAAGACGGATTTTAAAACCTGATTTACACTGGAAACGTCACTAGAATCTAGTAACAAAAATAATAGACTCATTTTATAGTCATGTATTGTGGGTTGCGTGATGAGATTTTCTTTCACATTTGGATAGATTTCATGATTTATGCTTTTGGGTTATTATTTGGTAGGAACTCCTTATACTTTTAAAAGCGAATTATAATAAATAGGTAATACATTGATAATAGGTAATCATCCAGCATACATTTTTTGGTCTTTGAAACATTATTTTGAATTATAATTTTAAATGTTTTTATCAGTTGTAATACTACACAATCCACATTACAATTTACAACAAATGTTAAGTTATTGAACAAATTCAGAACAATGGAATTATAGTCATATTGTTAAACAGCACAGTTCACTGCTTTATGTATAAGCGATTTAGTCACCGTCTTCCGAAAGTTCACTTGTCACTGTCCTCCGATCCGAGTGAAATAATTAATGGTTCTATAAGTGTGTCCATTAGGCCATCCAATCTACACATCTTATTTTCTTCCTTAGTAACGTGTTGCACACAATTCCGCCAATCGTCAGAGCTCACATTTGCAACAGCGTTATGACCACCGGAACGTTTCGAAGGGGTAACAATCCCAGTACTTTGATATTCTTTAATTATCCAGTATATTGTAGATCGTGCAATAATAATATTCCTAATATGTGTCACACTTTAATAACCAAATATATACCAGCTACATCATTATTTACGTTAGCTCTGGTAGATGCAATCTTCAACACAAGCGTAGCAAAATTCATATCCGGGGAGAAGACAACATTTGTTTATGTGTTTATAATAAACTGCTTCTCGGAGACTGATAAAATGACCCAAGTTTAAGCGACTACGTTTTTTCAAAGGAGACAAGCTTGCTTTACTGGTAGGAGTGGTAGGTACTTGGAGTTGAATTCATCACTAATGCCAGTACACTTAGGACGCGAAATATCAACTTTTGTTCTTAAAAGAACTGTTTTTTTGTTAAAATTTATGCAAATGGACTCAGAACACAGAACAACTCAAAAATAAGTACAACAGTTACGGACGAGAATCGCGATTAAATTTGACAGTTAAATCATGTCAATAGCAATTTTACCTGGGTGTAAAACTGGCGCAGCGCGAGCCAATAGAAACTAAGATTTTTTGCGGGAAGTTTTAAATCCGTCTTCCTTGTTAAAAAACAGAGTATAGTAGTCAGCCACTTTAGCATAAAATGGGTTCTAATAAGAATATTGTTAAATATAAAGTTTAACGTTTAGTATTCCTTTAGTCAGCCACTTTTCCAGCCAATAAATATCAAACTGTCAAATTTATAACCTCAAACAGTTGTTTATCCTTGTGCAAAGTGTGACGCGTAGTTTGTTTGGCTGAGTAATGGTAAGAAAATTGAAGTATTTTGCTTAGATATAAGCTTGACATGATTAAGTTTTAAAATCGACATTTTTGTTAATTTATTGTTTCTGCTGCTTTGCAGGGTCATAATATACATTTAACCACGTTTTTCAATAATTTTATTGTACCTATATACAAAATAATGCACGATTTTCTTAATTTTAAGGTGGCTGACGACTGGCTTGAAATTGTATCTCCATTTTTATGGTCAGCCACGCGGCTGACTACAGGGCAACGCTAAAATATTTTAATTTTCGACCTTACACCTAGTGAACACAGAGCCAAGTATGCCGGTTATTTTTATGTACAAAAGTAGACTATATTTTTGTTTTTTCCAATAGACAGTCACCCTTACTTGTGGTTGTTACATGGTGGCTGACTTTAGATCCAGTTGTCAGCCATCATAGTTTATCAGACCTTCCCATAAACTTTTTTGGTATTTCAGCAAAATGGGCCGTTATAAATCCCACGAAATACACAAGTATCCTGAGGAATCGTTAAGACATGTCTTGAATGAAATACGAAACAATGGATTGGGCATACGAGAAGCGAGTAGAAAATTCGGAGTGCCTCGAGGAACTCTACAAGATCGCTTACACGGTCGCGTAAAGGAAGGACCACGTAAGATGGGACCAAATACTGTCCTCACTAAAGAGGAAGAGGATGAATAGGGTCTTCCTGAAAAAAAATATTGTAACTTTTTTGTGTCTTACTGTAAAGTTTATAACCTGTAATTAAACATCTCATACACAAAACTTTTTTTTCCAATTGCAACATGTCAGGAAACAACATATAATATCGTAAAACTTTCAAATTTTGTCATGCAACCGACGACATGCCGATATTGGCCGAGCGTCGCTTACGTCACTACGCAAGTTGCCGATCGGGAGTTATATTAGTGCATGACACTGATAGGAGTTCGATTCGACTTATTATGGCAATCTGCCATAAACTGAGTTCTGACTGGTTCGTAAAGGGGCAGTTAGATAGTCTGCCAAAGGTTGAAGTGTTAATGGTCGCCGCCTTTTTCTCGAAAAGTGAGTTTTTCCATGCCACTCGTTTGAGTGGAGTCAATGCCCAGAAGCAAATCTGTTATGGTTCATAGGAAGTATAACATTAAGTTTTGTGTGTATAGTGCAAAGTATAGTGTAGGTACCTAATAAAGTATGCACCTTACGGATTTCAACGAGAAAATTAGGGTTTTGGATATGTGGAAGTGAAAATAGAGAAAAATGTGTGCACTGTAAGGGCACAGATATGCCCAGAACAGAGTTCGAAGTAAATCATATTCTGAATTGCAATTACAATATTACATATCGATGGATTTTCGTCGACATTATGTACTTTAATTAATACTTCACAATACAAATGGGATGTCAAACTCGCGGTATCACGTCGAACTTTTTTCGTATATTTCCTGTTGGGACGTTTATATACAATTTATTAGGTTCGCGATGACTTCTGCTATCACACCCAGGCACAAATGCAATAATTATTCGACGCTTTTTTCCGTCAAAACGACGTTTTCTTTCTCTGAATCGATTGTAAGCAATGCTACGGCTGAGCGCCAACGTGCGTAGTGACGTCACAGCAACGTGGCGGTCATTCGAAACTTTTCAAACGCCGTTCATTTTAAAATCGTGTTTGCTAATCACAACGATTTCTCTTGACAAAAAAATGAGTACCACTAATTTTTTAATGTGCTGTGAGTTCATTTTCAAGGTTTTTGAAAAAACGCGGAAAACCCAATTGGAAAAATGGTTAATTAGCTTGGCGAAATCTGGGTTTCCTCAAAAGAAAAATGACCTATTAACAAAACAACTGTGCAAAAAATCATTACTGATGAGAAAAGAAAAACCCCTTTCAAAGAGAACAGACCAGGAGAGAAATGGTATCAAGGATTTTTAAAGAGACATCCGACTTTGTCTTTACGAGAAGCCGAAGGACTTACCAAAGCAAGGAGTATAATTACTCAAGAGTTAATACAAAAATGGTTTCTGGACCTAAAAGAATACCTGAAGATAAATGGAAATCTAGATATTTTGGAAGATCCAACGCGTATTTTCATCGGAGATGAAACAAGCTTTGCTATGTGTCCTAAAACTGGGAAGGTTTTGGCCCCAAAAGGCTATAAAAACATTTACGAAGTTAAAAAAGGAAGCGAGAAAGAGACAATTACAACACTTTTGGTTTTTTCGGCGGATAGAAAAACAGTATCACCTATGGTAGTTTTTCCCTTTGTTAGGCCCAAAAAAGCCATCATAGACCGCATTCCTGAAGATTGGTTTCTTGGCCGTTCAGAAACCGGTTGGATGAAAAGTGATACCTACATTTTTTGAATATATTGCGAATGGAATGGATAAATGGATCAATGACAATAATATTAAAAAACCTGTACTACTCTTCGTTGACGGACACAAGTCGCATATATCTATGGAGCTTAGTAAGTTTTGTTACGATAACAGCATAATTCTGTACGCCCTTCCACCAAACACCACTCACATTATGCAGCCAGCTGATGTGAGTGTGTTTAAACCACTTAAAACTAATTGGAAAAAAACTGTAAGGCAATGGCAAGCCGAACCCGAGAATGTAAATTCTGTTCTTACAAAGTGTACATTTTGTCCCTTGTTAAAAAAAGTGTTGAGCGACCAGTCATTACCTCAAGCTATCAAAAATGGGTTTCGGAAATGTGGATTGTATCCGTTTGATCCCGAAGCGGTAGATTACACCAAATGTATCCAAAATGTTTTGGAAAGACAACAGGAACAGCAGAATAACATTATCGATATTACCGAAGACCAACTTGAAACTTCTGTTGTAGTTCGGAACATTTTGAAAAATAAACTTACGGATAAGG